AAAGAGTGTGGGGATAGAGTGTTTCTATTACCATCTGGTGCTTCTCCTACTCTGGATGAAGTGGGACATCTCATTAAAGGCGTAGAGGAAGAAGGGGAACATAACGATGACAACGCCGCCATGTCAAAGGAAGCGGACCCAGCAGATGCTGCAAATGATCAGACTAAGGGTTTGGCTGGTGAAAGTGAACTGGGATCAAATCCATCTGATGATGTTCCTGGTCCAAAGAGAAGGTGATTACCATTTCTTCTTGTTTGAAAATGGCTCTCCGTGGATTGAATTTGACATACATGTCCTGGAATTTGGGAAATGTAATTCCCATTTATATCCAAATGTTGTATAGACAACAAACATTGCTGTGTTATTTGAATGCAGAGTGATTGGACCTGCAATGCCATCTGCTGAGTTACTTGCTGCAGCAGCAAAGCTAACAGAGGCTCAAGCTGAACTTAGGTACTTTTGATCAAATATCTGTCAATGTTGCTAGAATTTCATGGTATCTGATTCTGTGTACGCTACTCAGCCTAGCATTTCTTGTTTGGAAACTTGTACAGCTCGTGGTTTATAAATGTTTATTGAAAATGCTTCAGAGAAGCTGAGCTGGAAGAAGATTCAGAGCTTTTTGTTGGACCTGCTCCACCGGCTGTTGTTGCAGAAGTTGCATCGTCTAACGAGGCAGAGCGTTTTGAGGAGGTTAATAGTTTTCCTTTCTGCATTAAGTATCATGTTTTTTTTTTTGAAAATGTCCTGCAAGAACAGGTTTTCACAGATTCTTCTTCGTACTTAACCAGGTCACTCGGATCATGGAAGCTGAAGCTGAGAGTCCATATGACATTTTAGGAGTAAACCACAATATGTCTGCAGAAAATATTAAGAAAAGGTAGGGTCCTTCATCCTTGTTAAAGTCTTGGAATCAAGAAAATATTATCAGTTATTTAACAACTTTTAAATCATGCTTAAATTCATTCTAAATAAACAATTAGATCAAGTGCTCTCTAAGTTAAAGCTCAAAACATAATTAGACCAAATGTCCAATTCAATTGAAACACACTATTGTTTAGTTTTTTTAATCTTTCAATCATGAAACAATGTCCTATTTCTGAATGAAACTCTGAGATTGAGGATCTTCTGGTACCCATTTTTTTGTAGTCTTTATCCATCACGGTGAACAATTGCATTATGGGTAGTTTTTGAGCGGCACAAGCAAACATGTTAGGATTATCATATCGTATATCCATTATTTCTGGATGTACCTATAGATTGCCCATAATGATTTATGGCTCGAGGTAGATCTGACAAATAATCTTTTTGCAGATATTGGAAATTGTCTCTCCTGGTTCACCCAGACAAATGCTCTCATCCCCAGGCCCAACAAGCTTTCGTTTTGTTGAACAAAGCTTTTAAGGAACTCCAAGATCCAGAAAAGGTGAATTATTGACTACACACTATACAGCTTTAAGCTACTTGATCGTGAGCTGCCAATGCTTGCTTATCTGTTCTCGAGTTACATGGTAGATGAGTTATAAGGTTACAAAACTTGGTATGTTTGTGATGGTACCTAAGGTGCAGTATCTTATATTTTATTCCTGCAGCGAAAAGCAATGGATGAGAAGATTAAACTCAAGGAGGAACAGGAAGCATTTAAGGTTTGCAATAGTACCAAAATCTTCTAATGATAATTCAGGACAATGTATTGGTAGAAATTAAGTACATTAACATACTTGTTTTTGCAGGCTGAATTAAAGTCGATGCGTGAAGCTGCCCAATGGAGGAGATCACAAGGTAATGATGAGTCACAATATGATACTTTTTTTCCGGGCTGATGCCTCATCTGAATTTGAATTTAATTAATATACCACCCTACCTCCAGAAAGGGGCCTGGATACTTCATTTTATTGGTCGAATCGCCTAAACCAGCCTAAGTGAGTACAAGCGGTAAGAGTATGGTGATGTTTTTTCGGTTTGCAGGTATATCAATGGAGGGTGATGAAGAACTGCTTGCGGCAACCGAGGTCAAACCTGTACCTAAACGAGATGAATGGATGACCACCTTACCTCCAGAAAGGAAGGTAATGTCCCGTCCTTCACCTCTGAAACATCTTTCAACTTAAGGCTTTTACATTTTTCAGGCTTCGAATGCTCGAATCCATCTGGGTTTTTTCATCTTTCACAGCCTGGTGTTGCCATGCATTCAACCACAACGTTTAGCAGAAACGCTAGAGAAGGACGTGGGGACACTAGCGCCTGGACAGATACTCCTTTGGATAGGGCTCAGAAAGCAAAGACAAAGTAAGATTCTGGTATTTTTTTCACTTTTGACGTAGCATGTGTTAAGCCAAGTAGATCCGGATTTCGATCTTGAATCCGTCTTGATAATTCATCACCCCTAATGTTTCTCAAAGAAGAGTCGACACTGACTAAGGTTGTTGGAAAATGTAGCAGGACAAGAATCTTGCATGACTTACTCTCTTACCAAAAAGATATAATGTGTAAAAACTAAATGGGTCAAAGCCGTTAAAGATTGAGCTAGTTGACAGGTGCAAGTCTCTATACGCAGAGAACCCTAATCCTTCTGGTTGAAACCTAGGACAGGGGCTATCATAATTGCAACATACCTTTGTCCTAGTGTTCCTACAGCCAGTCAAATGCCATTAAATTTGAACATATTCTCGCATTGATGTATGAATAGTTGTTTGTCATGATCACGTGGATAATAGCTGGAAAATATCGAAAACAGACTCGGACTCATTGTTGTTATTTTTGACGTTTGTAGTTACTTGGAGGCATACAATGAGGCGACTGCACTCGCTTCGAACGAGGAGCATAAGAGTCAGAGAAGCCTAGACGCCGAGCTGGTGGACAAATACAACAAGGAGAAACGATCAAAATCGCTAGTGGAGAAATACAAGGAAGGGACATCGAGCCGTTTGAAGAAGAATAAGAAGAAGAAATCGACGTCCAAAGATGGAACCGAGAAGGAAGAATGGGTCGGGAAGCATCCATGGAAGCCTTGGGATCGTGAGAATGATCTCACAGCCGGGCGGAAGGCAGTGAAACTCGACTCGGATGGAATGGCCGAAGGTTTAGCTTCAAGGTTCTCTTCTGGCAACTTCCAAAGAAGCTTTCTTTGAGTTTGAGATCTCTGCAGAAGATTTTTGTTATGTTGTATCTGCACATGTTGAAAGGGTTTGAAAGAGGTTACCATGGAAATCGTCTCAAATATTCTCATGGAGTTGTGAGAACTGAATTTATTGGTTAAATTTGCTAGAAATTTTAATTTATTCAACCAAAAGAGTTGTGATTAACTCCTGCATAATAGCTCTACTTCAATTGCTTACTATACGTACGAATTAAACTCAAACCAAACCAAAACCATATTTCCAAACCGGATTAAACCGAGATTATAGGGCCCAATTGAGGGCTTGGCCGGTTTTTTTCGGTTTACCCGAACCGAACAATAAGAAGAAGTCAACAGTGAGAGGGAGACAGAGATGAGGACAACAAAAGGGCATATGCTTCGCCGCTTCGGTCGTAATTTTTCAGTCGTCGTCTGTGAAATTACGAACATTATAAAAATATTGTTTTATTTTTCTTTTGTGGGAATAAAATAGAGAAAAACGTGAGAAAAAAAAAAAGAAACACGAAAAAGCTCAAACGCAGTATCAACGAAGAGGCTAAAATTTCCACAGATTTGTTTGTGAATTCCTCAGAGACAGAGAGAATCCATCGGGACGACGACGCTCGCATCTGACTATCTCATCGGAGCGAGGGCTTTTTCTATTTCTCTTTGAGCATTCTCCAATGGCGGCTCCTCGGAATCTGACCGGCGACGGTGGTAGGTTGCTCACGAGGGACGAAGAGAGCGCCGCCGTGTCATCTTCTTCGGCGGTGAAAGACCTCGCCGACGATGACGGCGACTCTTCGACGGGTAAGGGACCCAAATCTGGTAGATTCCCGCTCTCGCGGTGGGAGTTAGCGACGTTTTCCGGCGTCTTCATCGTCTTCTCCACGGGACTGTTGTGTATCTATCTCACCATGCCCGCCGCCGAGTATGGCAAGCTCAAGCTTCCCAAAACCATCTCCGATCTCCGATTGCTCAAGTGAGTCTCTCCTTTTCTCTCCTTAGCCCGAGTAGTGAATTTTCATGCTTGGTAATTTGGAAACTGAGGAATCGTGTTTCTATTTCTGGGTCTTGTGTTTGATGGGCTTTAAGATTATAGCTACAGCTGATGTTTAGCTTAGGCAACTCCCATGAATCCAGATCCCAAGTAGAAAGTTCCAATCTTTTTAGAGATTAACAGTGTTGGATGAGATTAGATCTGAAAATAGGCATCATACCATCAGTTTACAGCATCATTATCATCGTGTTTGAGAATTTTTGGTGCTTTGCTAACACAGATTTGATCTAAAACAAATGCAGAGATAACCTCGGAACCTATGCGAGTGATTACCCAGTTCGTTTCATGATGGGTTACTGCTCAACTTACATCTTCATGCAAACATTCATGATTCCTGGAACAATCTTCATGTCATTGTTGGCTGGAGCCCTCTTTGGCGTAATTAGGGGCTTTGTCTTGGTTGTCTTCAATGCAACAGCCGGAGCTTGTTCTTGTTTCTTTCTGTCAAAATTAGTTGGAAGGCCCCTTGTTTCCTGGCTGTGGCCTGACAAACTCAGGCTTTTCCAGACAGAGGTAGTCTACTCGTGTCTGAACAAGGCGTCTTTACCGTTCTCGTGTTCCTCTTTGATCTTTCTCTGATGCTGTGATCCTCGATTTTCTGTCCGGATTCAGATTGCGAAAAGAAGAGATAAACTTCTGAACTACATGCTGTTCTTAAGGATAACACCGACACTCCCAAACCTGTTCATCAATTTGGCATCTCCCATTGTCGACATACCCTTTCACGTGTTCTTCCTGGCAACTTTGGTCGGGCTAATGCCAGCCGCATACATCACCGTTAGAGTGAGTTTCTTTCTTTCTTTCTTTCTTATTTGAAATGATGGTTTCTACCCTAATGGTATATGTTACATTACAATTGTATTCCCTAATGTTATACGTTTCTGGTGCGTTGTTGTGTACAGGCCGGTCTGGCCCTCGGAGATCTCAGATCAGTGAAAGATTTGTATGATTTCAAGACTTTGTCGGTGTTGTTCCTCATCGGATCCATTTCCGTACTCCCAGCCCTCCTGAAGAGAAAGAAAGTGTACGAATGAAAATGGATCGGCTATACAGAATACGTACGATGATAAGAACGAGCTTGAAGAGGCTGCAGGGCGCTTTTTGAGATCAGAGCTACCAGAAGAAGATCGCCTTTCTGAAACAATTCCATGGCTTTGGTCCATTTATAAGAGAAATGAAGAAATCCTTCCTTATTTGGCATCATCTCCTTCTCCTTGTAGCAATTGCTCTGTGTAGAAATTTTAAAGAATGGTTCTATAGCAAAGGAAGAAAACATAGTAATTGCTGTGTATTGGTTTTTTTTTCTCCTTTTAAATTCTCCGAGTTTTCTTTTTCTTCCCTTTCCTGATAAGGTAAATAAACAGAGTGTCGCTTTAGAATGAAGAACATCAGCACTGAAATCAAAAGGATTGTTCAAATATAAGACCGGAATCATCATACTACAACAAAATCGGGAGGATGTTGCTCTTCTACAAACCAAAAAGAAAAAAAACTTTCCATAGAAACAGTTGGAGACAGCAAAAAAATTACGAAATGGAGATGATTCCACAAATCAGTCATCGTTTTGGGTAGCGTTACCAACTCCGAAGGCGTCAGCCAAGTTGAAGTTCAGGTTGCTTCTCATCGTTCTGCTCCTCCCAATCCCTTCTCCTTTCCTCATCATCGCCGAAAACTCCGAAAAATCAATCCTCCCATCCTATCCATATAAAAATCGTTAAGCCAAATCATTACACAAAGGACTCGGGATTCGACGCAATTCACGAAGAATCTACGTCTCATGGCCTCTAAAAGCTAAACCATCCCCGACCCATGACACGGTTCTGGTTATATTTTGGTTTTACTTCATGGGTCTAAACCAAAGATCGATTCTTTGTCAACGACGCATACAGGTTTCGAGAGAGGAGAAGAGAACTTACATTGTCGAGATCAATCTCCTTGATCACCTCTTCGATAGGGGAATCGCAGAGGCCGAACTCTTTGCAAGCTTGTTGAAGCTCATCCACTGTGATGTATCCGCTCCCGTCTTTATCAAAGTATGAAAACGCAGCCACCAAGTTCTCCTCCCTCTCCATCTTGTTCAAGTGCAACGTCGCTGCTAGGAATTCCCCATAGTCTATTGTCCCACTGTTGTCTATATCCGCCTGACATTTCAATCATGCATGTTAAAAGAACCGATCAACAAAGGACACAGATCGAGATTGGAAATGAATCAAGAAAGCATTTGAAGTCGTGATTGAAATGGTGAAAGACCACTCCACAAACATAGCAGTCACTGAAGATCATTAGTCTTTAAATACCGACCACCAAGATCACTGTGGTACAATAATAGTCCATGAAACAAATGAATGCAGTCACGAAACAGTTCTCAGAATAACGGTTTAATTGCAATAGGCTATTATAAGTAAGTTTTATCTCATCTGACTAATACGGAAACATTTGGGTTCGTATGAAAGCCTTTGGACGGAAATGCCATAACGGGTTTAAGGAAACTGTGATCGTAAGCATTATGAGGGACTGAAACGATATTCAAATAACCAAGTTCCTCTATTCAACAATGATATTAGTAGCACCATTTTGATTTGCAAGTCATAAAGCACTTATCACAATCTGACAATAACATGAAGGATGGTTCACTGTTGTGAGACGTACATCGTATGAAAGCAGAATCCTCAAATGAAAAACAAAGTTTGATTTAGTCTCATACCGCATCCATTAGAGATTTGATTTCTGATTCCATCAGTTCAGACCCGACTCTCTTCAAACCTGCTTTAAGCTCCTCAAAGGTAATTGTACCGCTGCTGTCTGTATCTATCATCTTGAATAGTTCCTTCAGACCACCAATTTCTTCCTCTGAAAGTCTCTCAGCAATCACCTGTGAGAACGCAATCCCCCGTTACATAATTAACGAATGAACACAAATAGAAGACATGGGGAAAAGAGAACATGTATTAATGGGTTTGTACCCGTAAGGCCATCTTTTTAAGTTTATTCATCTCTGAAAACTGCTTTAGTCGAGACAAGACTGCTGGATCAAGAGGCTTGTCTGGTGCAGCCAGTTCATCGACAATCCACGAATGACCTAACATTCAGAGAAACACAAATCTTATAGTATAGAGGTATTAACAATGATAAAAACATGGAAGCACAAAAAAAGGGGAAAAAGGACTCATAAAACGACTTACACAATGCTTCATGGGCAGAAATGCGTTTCCTGGGGTTCCTTTCGAGCATTTTGCATATCAAATCTTTAGCATCGTCTGAGATATTAGGCCATGGGTCGGATTTGAAATCTAACTTCCCTTGCAATATCTGTCTAAAGATTCCGGACTCAGTTTCTGCAACCCGAATACAAACATGCATAATCCATATAGGTGAGGAGGTTCCCAGGTAAACATTAAACTTGTTAGGAAACATAGGTAGGGTTTGTGTTGATAAATACCTGCCCAGAAGGGCGGGACTCCACTTAGTAAGATGTAAAGTATAACACCGGCACTCCAAACATCTATTTCTGGTCCATAACATTTTTTCAGGACCTCAGGGGCAACATAATACGGGCTTCCCACCACATCAAATAGATACTGTCCTGAAGAGCAAGACAAATCAACAGCACTTTCATTAGCCAGACCCTTCTGATTTTCGGAGAGTCGTCATAATTTAAAAGCAAACATACGAAGAAGTATCGAAGAACGATCAATCACTGCATGAGGCTTCATATATTAGAAAAGACGATGCCTTAAACATTTCTAAACAGAACCATGGCAATGTTATATAAAGCACCCGAATGACGTTGAAAAATGAAGAGAACAAACAATAACATGGAACTCCTACACTCCATTAGTTTGAGTTTACAAAGATCTCTGCTCAAAATGATTTATGTAAACTCAACACAGCTCATAACTGCCAAGCCTGGCCTAAACAAAAAATGGCAATCCTCGAGCATCAGGAACAATATACAGCAATTTCACATTTCTACAAACACACATTGACAGTTGAATTGAAATGGTTTGACAAGAATTCGGTTGTCCCTTGAAGGACGTACCAAACACACATTTCTCTACAATTACAAAGAATACAGTTGATCTTACAAACAAATACGTATCATTTTCAGATAATTGTGAAGCAATCAGTTGACCCAACAATCGAAGCAATGGATCAAAGAACAAAAAAAGAAATGCGAAATTGACCCAACCTGGCTTGTAGAAGACGGACAAGCCGAAATCGGTGGCCTTAAGCTTTGCATCGTCATTAGGGCTATCGAACAAGAAATTCTCAGGCTTCAAATCTCTATGCATAACACCAAGCGAATGGCAAGCCTCCACGACGCCAAGAATCGTCTTGATCAGCTTCGCGGCCTCGCGCTCGCTGAAATGGCCCTTCGCCACAATCCGATCGAAAAGCTCCCCGCCTTCGCAGACCTCCATGACAAGATGTACGAAGACGGAGTCTTCGTACGTGCCCTTGATCCGGACAACGTTGGGGTGTTCCGACAGGTGGTGCATGATCTGAATCTCCCTCCAGACGTCCTCATAGTCCTCGCGGCAAACGAGCTTGCGCTTGGGGATGGATTTGCAGGCGTAATTGGCTCCGGTGGACTTCTCGGTGCACAGATAGGTGGTACCGAATTGGCCTTGCCCAAGCTTCTTGCCGAGGAGGTAATGATCGCGCAATCTGGGCGTCTCGTAAGGAAGAACGTTGCTCGAAGGACGCCTAGGGTTTGGTTTATCCATCGATTGCGATCTTGGATTTTTCAGAGCTTTGATCTGTTCCTCTGTGTTCGTGAATGGACTTTTTTCCTTTTATTTAAGGCAAGGACTTGAGGAGCGCGGAAGTTCTCTCCTCTGTTTCCAAGACTTGACTGACTCTCCTCTCTTCTTATTATTAATCATTATTATTTAAATACCATAATCTTATGATAAATCAGTGTTTAAGCTATCAGATAATTTATTTTTTTCCTCTAAATAAAATAATTATTTTTTACAATTAACATATGAAAATGTTCAAATAAGTTACTGTCATAAATAATTTCAATTAGCTTTATATGGAATCTAACTTTGATGGCTTTGCCGACTAAGAAAATAATAATTTTGATAAAGAAATTATTTCCATATTGGATTGTTGTCACAATCATAGATCCCGGCGAGGGAATCTTTCCTTTACCATTCATTTTATTTAAAGATTTATTTTTTCTAAATTATATTTATTTAATTTATTGTCAAATTTGGATTCATTTCCAAAATATATTCCTAATCGGTCTGGTTTATTTATAGATTATTTTTACAATCACATCAAATTCAATTAATTCAATTTAAAAAAAAATCATACGTTGGAAATAGTCATCGTATTTTAATAGATTTTAAATGATAATTATAAAATTGAATACGTTCATACAAGAATAAGACATGAGCTCGTGACAAATTTGGTCAAACCTAAGATGATAAATCAAAGGACTTCGTTTTCGCCCATTACCTCAACAATGCATTATTTTATATTTCCTATAAGACGACATATATTATTATCATATATAGAATTAGCTTAAATATTTATTAACAAGTGTTCATGCGAAATGGGTGCGTTTAATTAAAATAAATGTTAATATTAAGCTTAAAAATTGTATTATTTTAGTGCCAATACGAATTCATGTTTGGACGTTTGGATTTCTTTTCTTTAGGCATTAGGCAATAGGCAGGCACGTCAATAGAGTCGTGCATAATGGAGAACACGTCGACATTTTTAGCTATGATATTTTTTTAACTAGTATATATAAAATACGAGTTAAAATTTTATTGGATATCATTTTGTTAAACTAAATTAAATAGATTTGAATATATTATGAATTTCAAAATATGAAAATTCAAATAAAATACATGTAATGAAAAGAACAATTCTTTATAAAAATATATATTTTTGTTATAAAAATTAAACATGAATAGAATATAAATACGATATAGAAAATAAATATAATTTTCAGAACGTCAAAATGTCTAACAAACATTTTTCCCTTTTGGGTCAACTCCGCCATATATTATACACGTTTAATTAATTTATCGATAAAAAATAATTGTTCATAAATAAACTAAAAATGATTTTCGTGGTAAGAGAATATTTGCGTAGGTTGCTTCCATGTTCTCCTCATTAATTATGTGGAAGATATTTATTATTTACCATATCCAATTAATACATTTGGAAATATTAGAGATCTATAAGTATCAAACTCATATAATTTTGGAACCATCCCCATAATGAATCTTGATACTGCATCCGTTTCTAAATAAATATTTAAGATTTTTTCATGATTCTAAAAATAATTAAAAATACCACATTCCCTTTAATACTCTATTGAAATTGATATTTTTAACCAAGGATAAAATAATAAATTTCCTTAAAAACATTTAAATATCTAAAACATGTAAACAAAAATATTTTCTAGAACGATAAAAAAACTCCTCTAGCATATATAATAAATGAGTCACAAATTCGCAGTACTAATTTGGGTATATATACACAAACATGTGAATGTTAGTGTAATAACATAAATAAATATTTCAAATCCCATTTGGGGACAAATATTACCAAAAAAAAAATAACATAAATAAATATATAAAATCCACCGACCGACGTGACAGAAAATTCCATGCATGTGACATGATAAAACAAAAACATGAAAATAGAACATGTTCTCCACGAGCTCACGTCTCTCTGCAGCAGCAGCTGCTTCGTGCTCGGAACAGACATCTGTTTTGGTCTGACGCTTTCACCAATATCGCCAAACATCTATTACACATTACATTAGATTCCACTCACCAAATTCATTTATTTAAATAATATTAAACGAATTTAAGAATCGGGCATTCGATGTTCAAGAAATTCTGACGTGGGATTATATAAAATCAGGTGACTCTTGTAAGCAAGTGACTCTGCTATAACAAAACTCATTTCTAATACAGATTTTGAATCTGCACTTGAAAAGAAACATCTATCCAAATTATTTATTATTACTACCACTAACTATTTTTAAATAAAATATTCATTAACTGTTTGAGTTTTTAATGACTAAGTAAAAATTAAAACAAATGCCACTTGCATAATGAGATGGATTATACGTGGTTTCACCAAATCTCTTTAAATTCGTTTTTTTTTTCTCAATCACATTGAGATGAACGTGCAACCCATTGTTAATTCATACACTACCACAACTCATTGCATACATACTCATCCCAAATCAATCTCCTTCACCATATCCAACAGTCGACAACTACTCACACAGCTAAAATTCTTAAACATGATAACACATGTAATAGCTTTTTAAACCGAAAATGAGAGCTTTTTGCTTTGATTTTCAAATCAAAAATGAGTTCGATCCTCAAGTTGAGGAGGGGATAGTAATTTTAATCACATGGCTTAATCTCGGTCTCATGATTAATCTAGATTTCGGTGCAGGATACCTGGTTACTCCAAAAAATGGCTTCTCTCCAATTTTTTCCATTGGAAAAAAAAAAACCCTATCGACCCACCTTTGATGTCAGCTGGATCCCTCGCGAGGGAAAATTTCCCTAAATTTGCCCATGGAGATTGGGCTTCGAGAAGAAGAAGAACATAGATTTAGGGTTTTTTTTTTTCAAGAAGTGCTTTCAACTAGGGACAAAATCGACACGTCATTGCTCATGATTTTAAAATTCAGGTTTTATTTTAAATTGAGAAGTTGGCAAGTTTTCTTTCTAGACATTCCAAAATGTTGGATATTAGAGGTACAAAACGGACCAGCTGGGCCTATGGCTTGGGCCAACCCGTTTTGGACCCACCTTGGTTGCAGCCCAATTTTCACGAGCCATAAAAAAAATATGGCTATCGCCTGGACTCGTGAGTCAGTCATATTGACCTCATCGATCACGTTTTTTTTTTACAGAAACGACAATATGTAAACCGAAAAACACCAATATTTTGAAAATTAATTAGTTTCCAAGTCTAAACTAAATACAAAACCGAAATCATACACACAAAACAAATCTATAAATCATTTAGAGAACACAATATTTTTATATGAAGTTATTTATATTTGATTTTATTAACGAATATTTAACATTTAAAAATTAAGGTTTTACATTATCAAAATATAAAAAGAAAGAAAATTGAACGAAATATTTTTATACAAAATTATGGAAGAGATTATTGTTTGAAGATATGTATAGGAATGTGATTAATGATTCAATGGATGTAAATAAAAGTCTCAAGTCAAGAATGAACCATCATAAAAACATTTAAAAAGAATAAAAATTCCACTCAGAACAAAGTATACGTCTTAGTTGGATAAATATTGCTTGTATTTGTGTACATGTTAGTTTTCGTCGGTAATAAATTATTATTGTGTTACAATCATGAAAAGTAATATGATTATATTTTATCAATATCCTTTTGACTTAGGCTATGAATGGTTGGAGATTTTAGAATTTTTGGATTCTAAAAACCAAAAAAAAAAAAACCAATCAAGTTTGTATAAAGTTGATTTTTCAAAAATATTTGAAAGCCGTTTTGATTGAAAAATCAACTAAAAATAACTCCCTTTTTTGGATTTACAACTAAAATCGTTACTACCATTTATAACTAATTAACTATCATACCAATGAAATATGTCATTACATCTTAGCTCTTATTTTTTTTGTATGAAATGAGAAACATTAAAAATATCAAATATATATATATATATATAATTTTTTCCTCGCAGAATAAAAACATATATATTTTTGTTTTGAGCTCTCAATCTACAATTTATTCGTATCTTGAAGACACGATATAAGAAAACAAGATTATTTTCTCAAATTATGTCCAAATAATTTTTTATATTTATTACAAATATAATTTCCAAGTTTTTTTAATAATTATGAATTATATTTCGAGACGATGAACCGTTCTCTATGAAAAGAATTATCTTAATTTATGTTTTTAAAATGTAACAAGGAAAAAATATTACAAATATTTTGAATTATTCTTCTTTTTTTCTAGTTTTTTTTTCAGATTCTTTCGTTTTATATAAATTTTTGGAACGTGGAAAAGACAGTAGAATAAAAGAAAGAATTTTCTGATCATTTTTACAAGATATTGTCAAGGCTTGGTCTCCCCTCCTCCAATGCCCAATGGAAGCTGATGTATCTCTTCCGTTAAAACCCTAAATCTTCTCTGATTTTCTCGATAGATTTCCTTCGTTTTCTATGCTGCTTCTGCCGCGAACTTGCTCGTTGTAGGCGTTTCGATCCGATCGAATCCGGGGGAAGCATGAATCGCACTACGATTTGGGTTTGGTCTCTGCTGATTATTTCTCAGTTGGCCTCCGCGAAAGTTGTATTGATTGGGAAGAACATCACTCTCTCCTTTGACGCCATGGAAGCAAATTTCAGTGAGTTTTCTCAGCTCTAGCTATACTGCCCATAGATATTTTCTCCTTTTTGTTTGGGTCCGGAGAAAAATAACTGGGTCGAGATTGAGTTTTCCTGGAAATTTATGAATAACTGGTGTTACTAAATCTAGCAAGTTGATGTTGATAAGGGTTAGAGATAATAGAATTAGGCGAATGGAGAAAATTTCTTTTGAGGATGTTTGAATTTTTTTAGAAAGAAATTACTGTATCCGCTACCTTTTCTGGTTATGATTCCCTCAAGAATTTTTCTATCCACACCGCCTGTTCGGAAACCAGATCTATGGGTCTTGATGTTGAATGACGTTGTTGAATTCGATTGCTTCATGACATGAAGATTTCGGTTTTCAGCTCCAATGATCAAAAGTTCTGGTGAATGCGGGGTACTGTATGCGGCGGAGCCTCTTGATGCGTGCTCGGATTTGACAAATACGGTGGCGAAAGGATCGGATGTTACTTCGCCTTATGTATTGATCATCCGAGGTGGCTGCGGTTTCGAGGATAAAGTTAGAAGGGCTCAAAAGGCTGGATATAAAGCTGCTATCGTCTATGACAACGAGAACAATGGCGTCTTAGTATCAAGTAATACTATTTTTCCTTGGCTGTTATGTCGTAATCTCTTAACCCTTAAGCTCGTTGTAATTTATCGGTTAGGGTTTTGGGTAATTGGGTTTTCGTAAGTGGTAGAATGGCATGATGTACTTCTGATACGACGAACTTCGTTGCTGATGGTGTCTTAGGTTGGTGTCAACTGACACTTACATTAAAGATGTGTCTTTTATGTTCATTTGCAAAGTTATGTTGGCTGCTCTTAGGGCTTTGTCAGCTCACTGCTTGTCTCTCTGAAACATCTTTAACCGGAAAATCGATAGCTTACTATCTTGCCAACCAAATGCAGTGGCAGGAAACCCATCGGGTGTACATATACATGCTGTATTCGTCACTAAAGCATCGGGAGAGATGCTCGAAAAGTATGCTGGCCGGACTGATATGGAGTTGTGGCTTGTCCCGAGTTATGAAACTTCAGCATGGTCAATCATGGCAATCTCTTTTGTTTCTCTACTTGCAATGTCCGCTGTGCTCGCTACTTGCTTCTTTGTCCGAAGGCATCGGGTTAGACGCCGGCATGTACGGTCTTCTCTTGGCGGAGGCTTTTCTCGCATATCTGTAGACTTGTTAAAACGCATGCCTGTTCAAGTATTCACGGGTGATCTTGAAGAGGGCACTACTTCAATTACATGTGCAATATGCATCGAGGACTATCGGGTCGGGGACAAGCTCAGGATCCTACCCTGTCATCATAGTAAGTTCTTTTGTTTACTTCAAATAAACTTTTCTTACCAGAAATCTATAGCTGAAAAAGAAGTTTGCATTTGACAGAGTTCCATTCTGCGTGCGTCGACTCTTGGCTCAGTATGTGGAGATCCTTTTGCCCAGTTTGCAAACGCGATGCAAGAATCAGCAACAGTGACCCGCCCGCGTCAGAGCGGACACCATTGCTTTCTGCAGGCTCGTCCCCTTCATCGTCTTTTCTTTTAACGGCCTCGAGAACCCCATTGCAATCATCTTCTGATCTACCAATAGCTTTCACACACCAATCTCCCTCACCCTCCACTACTCGGCTTCCCCACACAGTCCCCATATGTCTTCCCCACTCTCACTCACACGCAAACATTCAGTATCTGCATCAGTCTCAGGGGTCTTACCGCCGCCGATCCCCTCCTATACCCGTGAGCCGGAGTTCAGCAGATCTCAGGAATGGCTATTCCCGAAGATCTTGCAACTCTCCGCACTTGGGTTCGTCACCTCATTCCTTGGGTTACCCTCCCATGTCACCTCTCAGCACGAGATACACGTATTGTAGGCCAAGCCCAAGCAATGCCTCGCCTAGCAGGGTGCGGTCGTCGAGTTACAGGGCGTACCCACTTCATCACAGTGAGTCGGCTGGAACATTCTCGTCTTTTGCTTCAGCTAACTCTCTTCCAGACTGCTAACCCCGAAAACACGGTCACTGAACTTTCAACTCGGAGCGAAAGAAATCCCGAGAAACACGACCGGCTTTCACCAGGTGTGCCTCCTCGAGCTCCATCTAACTTTGGTTTGTGTACATATAGTGATAAGATTACCCAGTTTTCTTCTGTTTCCAGGGTGTGATTCTTGAGCCGTGATGTTCTGTAGAATCTTTGTGTGAGATTTGAGTTCAGAGTTTGGTTGGAGAGGTTTGGTGTGTAGAACTATCAAAAGCTCATATGGTAATAAATTAAAAATTATTCATATGATATATGTCTCATGTATGAAGAAGTATCATAACATGGAAGACAATAAAACCATGGAGCGTAGACACTAGAAAGGAAGAAAAATAAGAAAAAAACAAGAGTTCCACTGTCTCTATGATTTCTCAATCCTCTTTGTCTCTGGGTTTAAGCTCACTGCTCTCACCTTCAGCGACACCGGTCTGGTCGGTGGGTTCACGGCTTGCCGATGTGGTGGCCCTCACCCGAGGACGAGGAGGCTCGTCCTCTTGGCCAAGGCTCCTTATTATCATAAGAACGGCGACCAAGAACACGACGATGTACACTGTCTTGATCCCGATCATTGAGTTTATGAATCCCATCAATGTCGGCCCTTTGATTCCCTTCTTCTCTGTTCTTCCTTCTCTGTATCCTTCGAGAAACCGCGAGATTTGGGTTAGGTGATCTTCCTCCTCGATGGTCTCGACCCCGATTACCTGTTTAAGCATAAGGCCCCGTGTTAACTCAGAGTTTAGAACCGTTGAAAAGGAGTATGTTTCGTGAACATATAACCATAACTAAACAGAATTCGATATAAAAACTGAATACACCGACCAGAGAAATAATCGAAAAAATCGAAAATTTCTTTGGAAGATGCAGACGTTATCTTTAAAAACGACCTCAAATCAAACCTAAATCTCATATAAAAAACGAATGGAAAAAACCGAAAACAGAACCCTCTAACTATAATGCTCATAACGACTAACTTACCTGATGATACTCCTCATCTCCGTCCCATACAACAATCTTAGGCAGCTTAGACTTTTTATCCGCGTGAAATGAGTCGGCAAAATCGTCGAATTGCTCAACGCCGACGTACCCAAACACCATATCACGGTTAGCATTTGCGGCAGCTCTCAGCGCCTTGATCAGTTTACCCGAGCTCTCGTGAGTTTCATCTTCGACGATTGCCAAAACAATCTTCCTCTCGTCCTCTTTCAGTAACTTCAGGGTATCACGGTTTATAGGCACAGTCAGAGGAAGGAAATTCTGCTTCACGAATTGCTCTAAAAACCCATCTGCAAAACGAGAAATTCACGCAATCAAACAGTATAGTACTCATAACCGATTCCATAAACCATTTCGATTTTCGGACTGATGGTCCAACGATAATGACTAACCTTCAAAGGGTCCATAGAACACGCTCCGTTCGTTGTACTTCGGATGCTTGGCAACCAATGCGGGAACCTTATCGAAATCATAAGAGACCATTACATCCTCAGAGGCATCCTTTGCAACAGCAAACCATGCTTTTTTCTTGTACTTTGCACCCAAAGTAGACATCACTGTCTCGTTCAAGCCGAACCCGAGAAACAAAGGGAAGAAAGTCCCGGCATCTTCGACGAAATCCTTGACAGCAGAGTCTGACTCCAGAACTGCGACATCCGGAGCAACAAACTTCTTCAGGTAACGGACAAGTAAATCGGCCTTCCTTGGTCCATAATACTCCATTGGAACTCCATGGTTGTAGAGCTTGAGTGTAGGAAATGCACTGCCCGAAAACGAAACACAGGTAAGTGAAAAGTAACTAAAATGAGAAAGAAACAAGATCACAACTCATGTTAAGAACATCACTGACTATACAACTGAAAATGGAAAACCGGATCCATTGAAACGATTTAAAAATGAATAGAAACAATTACCGACAAACCTGCGTAACAAATTGATTGAGTAAATTACCAAGATACAGATGACATTTCGAACAGCAGGGCATAAACACTCGATAGGTTTGGAAAAAAGTAAAAAATTGAAACTAGTTGAAACCCTGTTCAAGAATCTGCTTAGACAATTACTAACTATGCCATTGCAATAGAGAAATTCCGAGATAGAGAATGGAAAGAGTTGAAGCCAGAGAACAGATATATAAAAGGAAAAGAGGAGCCGGAGGTTACTGATAAGTTTGAATAACACGTTAAAGATACCATTCAGAGAGCAATCGAAACATACTCGATATCAAGTTTCCGTGCAAGGCGGGAATATCTCTCAGCATCTAGCTTTGCGATCACAATGGGCTGCTTCAGTTTCGCAAGAATCGGCGCCGCCGCATCTAACTGCAAGAGTGTTCACGGAACGGTCAAATGAAGATTCAACAGCCAATCCAACACATACGACATGAAAGCAAACCTAAGATGTGAATAAGTTAAGTGCCACACTGTGGATAAAACTCCTTATCGATTCATAGCTAACGTAAGACATATAACATTATCAATTCAAAACCATAGACTTGATAGGATCAATGCATTGCAAGTGACAGAATATGGAATCAAAACCGAAATATTTTCTTAGATTGGTTCGCAAAAGAGAAGCAAAAGCCGCAACTGCACGCACAATACCATCAATGTAACCTAAAATCTGATCGACAGAAAACCGTACGAGAATATATGATCAAATCTAAAATCAAATTCGACCTGCCGAACAAGAAAAAAAATTACGAAGATACATCGAGCAGCTGTAATGAATGGGGCAACAGTTCAAAGTTTTCCTCAATCCCCATCAGAATTCACGTGTTTTCATTTCCAGAGCAAGAGCGAACCCCCACAGATGCGTATTTACATACAAATACAGACACACACATTACACATAGATGTGTACATATAGATCATCGCGGTGAACAGACCTCGGGGCTAAGGCGCTTGCAGTGACCACACCAGGGAGCGTAGAAATCGACGAAGATGAAATCGAAACTGGAAATCGCCGAGTCGAAGTTAGACTCGGTGAGTTGCAGAACGGTCCCGTCGACGGTGAGCTGATCGGCCGAAGAAGAAGAAGACGAAGAATCCGAAAGTGAGATCGGAAAAGCGAGAAGAGAGATCCAAAACCCTAAACCTAACCCTAGCGATCGCATCTCGCCGGACGATGATCTATCTCCGCCGTGATCCCAGTTTCCGGTTTTGTCGCTTTCCTTCTGTTCCCAAGCAAAACTCAACTGTAACTAAAGTTCCGCAGAAGTCTACGCTACAAAAATTTATCTCAACTTTAATCTATTTTTCCAATAAAGGCCAAAAACTATTTTTCTTCAAAATAAATACAATAAGAAAGCCCAATTACGGCCCAATAGATACAACATAAAGTCCAAATATAACAAGGCCCAAATTAAAGCTAATAGGCCCAAACAAAGACTATATAATACAAACTTAGATTAGAAAGTATTTACATAAAATACACACTTTGCCTATATACATTCTTTAGGATATCAATCAAAATATTAAGATAATATATTATATAATATTTAGATTAGATTTATTATCGTAATATTTTTTGAATATTCTCTTATAATGTAGAGGTGCAACCGAATCTAAATTAATTACTTGTTTCCTTGCTATAAAGATGAATATATTTGTTTGCCAATGGTAATCTTTATATTAAAAAAACGGATTACACCTCATGAAAAAAAAACATGTATTTTTGGAAGGGCGCACACATTGGTCAGCCACAAACCAAAACTAAACAAATGAAGAAAAAAAAAACATAGACCAAAGTTTCCAAAAATGGAAAAAAAAACACAACCAAAACCAAAGATTACACAAAAATAGTAGATGCCAAACTTATATTCTTTTTCTACATAATACCACATTGTAAATCGCCCATGACGAAGTTCCTCGGGGGAGGAAGAGACGGCGGGAAACTCCGGGCCGGCGGATCGTACACGTGGTATTCGTAGATCGGCTCGGGCGGATGCAACTGCCGTGTACAAGGAGGCGGTGGACAATACGGGTTGTAATAGGATGGTTGAACAGGCTGATTGTGGTAATATTGATAAGAAGGTAAATGATTCGGGCAATTAATGGACCGTGATGAATAATAATATGGATAATGTGAATACGGATTCGGTTTTTGGTGATGATGACGATGATGATGATGATGATGATGATTTGATGATGGATCCATCCATACGATATCGGTGTGCTTGTTACATGATGCTCGAATCTTTTGAAGTATTGTTTGGGGATCGAATTTTCCTCGTACGTAGACCGTTCTGTTCCATCGATCTATCGTGAAATTCACATCTGCATGATATAATATATGATCAAAACGATTATTAGTATTATTATTATTATTTGGAGGAATCGATGTAGCGTAACAAATCGAATCGATCGAACAAAGAACCTTTCATGGTCGACAAAACCTTGCTCAACGATTTCTCCCATCCTGTCGAGGGGGCATCATTTATCTTGAAGAGACAAGCCTGTGCAAATATTGAAACATGCATGTGTTACCATCATCATCATCATCATCATCACCATTGTTGTTGTTATTGTATTTGATGTAATTAGGGTTTATACGTACCATGTGATCGAACGACTCTGACTCCATGGATAGTGGTGTTGAATTGGAAGAGATTATATAAGATGGATAAGAGTTTATTGAAATTGAAGACCATACTTGTGCCATATTATATTCATATATATATACACACCAACTATATTAGTAAAGGTACTGATTATGGCAATTTTTGATATGGAAATGATCATCATTAATATCCTATATACATATATGTACAGACACATTTTCGCGTACGTATCTATCAAAATGTAATCCAAAGTGTTTGAATTAGGACTAATGGAGATTTGAAAAAATATTGGGGGTGGATATTTGTGATATCGCTTTTTTTAAATAAAAAATATATATGGAAACTTTCGGGTTTCATATCACATTTGAGTGTGGTTCTGAAGATTTTTTTTTTTTAACAAAAATGGGCATTGTCTGAAGAAATTTCCTTTACTTATCTATCTATCTATTTATTTATTTATTATTATTATTATTATTATTATTATTATTATTATTATTATTATTATTATTCAGTTCAATTCAATTAATTTAGTCTATTCGATTCCGTTGAATTATTTATAACTAAACTTAAATGTCCATTTCTAAAAAAAAATACACACCAAGAGATGGGTTAAGAGCAAAACAGATCCTGTCGAATGTCGTCCAAATTTCATGAAAAAAAAATAAATCAATAAAATTATTTGCCATCCTAATTCAAACAAAATAAATTATGTGTTTGTCATTATTTATTTTTGTCTATATTTGCGAATCATAACTCTCGCAAGTGTTATAGTTTTTAGATTGAAAAAAATCCAAAAGTTCCGTACAGATTCGGTTTTATGTAAAGTCCGGTATTTTAATTTTGTGCAAAATGCAGAGAAAAAAAAAAGAGTTGTGTTGGTTATTTATAGAACTAATTACGTGCCAAGATACGTAATTAATTGGGGTCCTTTAAAGGTGAAAAGAAAAATTACCATGTTTGAAAATGATATTTGATTATTCAAAATTTAGATAATGTGTCGTTGAATCTTCGAATGAATATTTATGAAATTCTGACCAAATTTATAAAAAAAAAACTCGATTATAAAAGTCAAATAGACCTATTTAGAACTCAATTTTTTATTATAATATATATATATATAAATTAGTTATTTGTTATAAAATATTAAGTAACGAAAATTAGGTATATATGTGTGTGTATATATAAAAATATAGATATGTATATATGATTAAAAAAAAACACGGTGTGGTATCCAAACGGCAAACGGAATCCGTACAAAACGGAAGGGGAAGTGCGTTGGAATAAATTTATGGCTCCAAAACAGTATGGTCACTTCATCACGGACCAGTACTATCCATAACCCTCTCCTCCCCTACCCTACATCCCATTTATTATATATACACACACACACATATGTATATAAATATACGCAAGTCTTCTCATATTTATTTCGCGTTTTATTTATTCTCTCCATGTTTTTACAAAAACTGCTAGCCTTCAGTCTTTTCCGATTTAAAAAAAAATATAAATTTATGTTTTTTATTTGGGATTTATAGTTTTTTTTATGTATTTTTATTAAAAAAAATTATTTTTGGAAACCAGTTTATGCTTCAATATTTCCAACTATTTTCGAATTAGAATGATCTAATTTTTTTAAGAAAATAATAATATCCAAATATCTTAAAACGGATTTATTTCGATTACATATCTTATTGAATCCATTTCAATTCAATTTTATGTACTTGTGATTATATGAAATTCGAGTTGATATACGTATAATCGTATTCATTAGTGTGAAACAAGGTCAATTTATATATTATGAAGGAGAGAGATCTACGTATAATAAACCTTATCGGATAATGATGGTGTGTCGTATATGTGTATAACAAAGTATGGAGAAAGCAATCTTCTTCGTACCATTTGCAGAAAACCATGTGCATTCCTCCAGTGAATCTATCTATATCCATCAACCACGACCATGCATGCATGCATGCACAGCTACACAATCTCTCTCTCTCTCTCCCTCTCTCTCTCTCTCTCTCTCTCTCTCTCTCTCTCTCTCTCTCTCTCCCCTCTTTCTTTCTCTCTCTCTCTCTCTCTCTCTCTCTCTCTCTCCCATATTTCTCATGCAACGTAAGAGATGATTGATGAGAATGGATATGGAAAAGTCGACTCGAAGACCATTATTCTCCGCCACTCTCACTAGGACCAAGCTACGCACGTACGCCTACATGTGGACGTAAACCTTACCTTATCCTCACTATATAATCACTATGGTGAATATATGTACATATGTATGTATGTATGTATGTATATACACCTTATGGATTATGATAGCCTCCATTATATAATAATAGAAGGATATCTTTTAAAATATTTGATGTTAATATTCTGCATATTCTTCTCCTTATTTCATGTTATTTAGTTACCATAATCGTAGCATACTCAAGTGTATATATATTCTGCATCATGTACACGTCTTGATCAATGAGAAACACTTTCTCAAAACCCTAATATTGTTTATGGTATCAGAGCCATAGAAGTCTCACGACATCAGCTCTTTTTTTTTTCCTCTTAATCATGTCTGCCGATGCAGCCAATTCCGCTGGCTCCACATTGCCGACTGATCCTACCACAAACACCACCACCGAAAATCTCCTCTCTCCATTGATCACAATCAATGTCACAAACATAACCAAACTCACGGCCACCAATTTCATCACATGGAGCCTGCAATTCCGCTCACTACTTCAGGGGTATGATCTTCAGGATTATTTGGAGACCGAACACAATGTTCCTCCAACCGTTCTCGAGGCAGAAATTCTCAAACCGAATCCGGCGTACCCCCTTTGGTTTCGCCAAGACAAGCTGATCTTTTCAGCCCTACTTGGTTCTCTTTCGGTGTCTTGTCAGGCTCTCATTGCTCGAGCAGCCTCTACTAGCGAAGCATGGACGATTCTCTCCTCCACTTACGGCAGATCCAGCCGTGGACACATCAAGCAGATTAAAGACAGTATGCGGCGCTTCACAAAGGGAGCAAAGAACATTGATGAATTCATGCACTTCTTCAAGGTCAAGGGAGATGAACTAGCCCTCCTTGACAAACCCCTTGATCATGAAGATCTCATAGACCTTGTTCTATATGGCTTGGGCGATGAATTCAAGCCCGTTATTGATGCTGTCAACGCTCGCGATGTCCCGATCTCCTTCACTGAGCTTCATGAAAAGCTCCTGAATCATGAGTCTATTCTCATAAGTGCCGACTCTGCTCCACCAATTCTGCCTATCACCGCGAACAACACACAGTCGCGTCACAGTGAGTCTTCCTCACGACCGCATTGGCAGCATCACCAACAGAAGTCTTCGCATGAAGCTTCACAGGGACAAAATCGGAGAACTACTGGCTATCAAGGGAAGTGTCAGTTATGCGGCACTCAAGGGCATAGCGCCAAACGATGCCATCTCCTTCCTCCCGGTGCCCTCATCGGGAACACCTCTGCTCCTCCGTCGCCTAAGCCTTGGCAACCTCGAGCTCATCACACCACTGTTCCTACTCCTACGCCTTCCCCGACTTGGCTCCTTGACTCGGGTGCTTCGCATCATATCACCTCGGATTTGGCAAACCTAGCGCTGCACTCTCCTTATTACGGTAGGGAGGACGTCGAGCTTGGCGATGGCTCCAACCATCCGATATCTCACACGGGTTCTATGTCTATCCTCTCTCACTCTCGGCCTCTTTCCCTTACCGACGTTCTTTGTGTTCCTAGCCTACGTAAGAACCTTATATCAATTCACCAATTATGTACCACTAACCGTGTTTCCGTCGAATTCTTTCCTTTCCATTTTCAGGTGAAGGATCTTACAACGGGGGCGCTAATCACAACCGGAAACCTTAAAGACGGTGTATATGAGTGGCCTACTAGTCCCTCCTCTCCTTCGGTTCATTTATCTACTGCTTTGTCTACAATAAAAACATCTCTTTTGGATTGGCATTCACGGCTAGGACATCCTTCCTCCGATGTCCTTCATCGAGTTGTAACCAATTTTTCTCTTCCATTGTCATCTAAGTCTTCCATTTCGTTGTTATGTGAACCGTGTTGCATCAATAAAACACATAAACTTTCTTTCTCCGAGTCTACTCTTCAATCTTCTCGCCCACTCGAAATAGTTTTCTCGGATGTATGGACTTCTCCCGTTACATCCTTTGACGGTCTCAAGTACTATGTTATTTTCGTTGACCATTTCACCCGGTACACGTGGTTCTATCCACTCCAACGAAAGTCACAAGTCCTTGAGATCTTTCCTCGGTTCAAGTCCTTAGTGGAAACCCGTTTCGAACTCAAAATTCAAACCCTTTACTCCGACAACGGGGGCGAATACATTGCACTCCGTTCATTTCTTTCTTCCCACGGTATCACACACTTGACTACTCCTCCTCATACTCCCGAACACAATGGGATATCGGAGAGGAAACATCGTCATATCATGGAAACGGGCTTATCTCTTCTCACTCAAGCCTCGATTCCTCGGTCTCATTGGTCGTTTGCATTTCCTACAGCCGTGTATCTTATTAATCGGCTTCCTACCAAAATTCTTGGTCACATATCTCCTTACGAAATGCTCTTCCAAAAAGCCCCAAATTATCTCAAACTCCGTACGTTTGGGTGTCTATGTTTCCCTTGGTTGCGTCCTTACTCCACCCATAAACTCGATCCCCGGTCTTCCCCGTGTGTTTTTGTTGGTTATTCCTTGACACAAAGTGCATACTTGTGTCTTAATCCTGTCACGTGTCGAGTTTATTCCTCTCGTCATGTTACGTTTTTCGAGTCTACGTTTCCTTTCTCTAGGCTATCAACTTCGACAGCATCTCTTTCCTCGCCGGAACCAGATCTGTCCTCCTACTCTCCCTCTCACTCTCTTGTTCCCAGTGGCACACTCACATCGTCGTCTCCACCGCATGCAGCCCCTGTTCGAGATCCTTCATCGGAGAATGCTTCCGCAACAACACCGAGCGCTGGCTCCTCTTCCCCGATGCATTCACCTC